ACATCTGGAGGGCCAAGTTTGGCCATGCCTGCTTTACAGGATTGCCTTCAGATGGCTCAGGGGTCAGATAACGCCATACCCTACAATATTTCTCCAGTGAAATTTCTGGCATCAAATCAGAAACCAGGACGGCTTCTCTAAATCAGGGACTTCCCTGGAAAATAAGGACACCTGGAGGGTCTGCTTCAGGTTTCACCATGGCTACTTCAAATCAGAATTCTCAGTCCTAAACAGGTCTGCTCAGAAGAAAGCCACACAGCCTTTGATGTGAAAGTAATTCCTTTCCGGCTTAGTGCAATTTTATGCACACTTACTTGGGAGTAAACCCCACCGAACCCAGCAGAACTTACTTCTGAGGATAGCAGAAACCTACAAGTAGGTTGCCAGAAAACCGGGTGGGTGGGAATGAGAGTGGTTTCCTTAGTCAAACACTTTGGAAAAAAACCAGTGTGGTATAATGGTTAGAGTGTTGGACTGTTGCCGGACCTATGTATGACCTGGGAGAGCAGGGTTCAAATCCACACTCAGCAATGAAGCTCACTGGGTGACCTCAGAGGGTTGTTGAGAAGATGAAATGGTCAGGAGCAGAACCATGTACACATCAAGGAGCTCCTTGGAAGATAAACATGGTATATACATGTAATAAAATTAATGTATATAATAAAGTATTTTTTTTTAAAAAATCCCCAAATAAAATGCTTCTTCTTCCAATCATTCTGAAACAACATAGAAACAGGAAATAATGGGGGACTTATGAATCTGTGCATTTCATTCATATACTGTATGAAGTGACCGTACTCAGCAACAGAGTAGAGCAGATTTGGGAACTTTGTAATGGTAATTGTTATGTACCGAGTTGAATAGGACCCAAAATGCAGCAGTCTGATTGGTCCTAGAAAAATAGGATTCATAATGCTGCAGTCTGATTGGTCCTAGAACAATAGGATCCAGAATGCAGCAGTCTGATTGGTCCTAGAACAATAGGATTCATAATGCTGCAGTCTGATTGGTCCTAGAACAATAGGATCCAGAATGCAGCAGTCTGATTGGTCCGCAGCAGCCACCCAATCCCAGCTCCAGGTGGAAGCGAATCCGCAACCTGATCGGCCTACAGGAGAATCCCGGAATTAGCCAATCACGTGGGGCCCATTGTGTAAATAATGTATATAAAGCAGACAGTTTGGGGGAACTTCCATTCCTCGCTACTATGAGCTGAATAAAGGGCATGAAATCCACACTCGACTCTGAGTATATTTCAGTAATGGTCACTAGATAGACCTTTGAGGTTGGTCATATTTGATTCTTGGCTATTGGGCAAGTGTCCCACTTGCAACCACCAGGGCCACCCGAATGGATTTTGCTACCTGAGAGAGAACAGCAAGTGCCTGTTCTCTCCTCTCACCAAGGTGCACCATACTCAAAGCTGACCAAGTTATTTTGGCACCTGAGGCAAAAAATAAAAAATAAAAAAATCCCACTGTTTATCAGTGAAATATACTCGGAGTCCGATTCTTCTAGGATTCAGCTCAGTACATAACAATCAGTAAGAAATAAATGACCATTTGCTGCTTTTTCATGGCACCCTGAGGCAACTGCCTCACTCTGCCTAATAACAGGGCCAGCCCTGAGGTCAGTTTGCTGTCCTCCCCTCCAAAAAGTGACCAAAAGGAGCAGATCCACCTTGCCTGCCCTGCCTATGGCTGTTGACCACCAATGTCCCCTAGCAGCTTCTATGGCCAAGGAGGGCAGTTCTTGTTGAATATAATGGACAGAGTCATGGGATTGTTCAGAGGCCAGTGGGGAAGTACTTCAGTCTCCTCGGACTCTCAAGTGAACATTAGCTTTGTTATAAAACAGAAGCATTTCGGAGCACAGCTGGTGAAGAGGCCAGTCCTGAAACTCGTTCACTCAAATGTCTGTGTTCTCAGGGCCGAAACAAGAATGATGAGCGGCTCTCTCAAAATAATTGCTTCCAGATAGGCCGTGCGCTTCAAACCTGCTTATTGCTCGAGCCATTGTTTTGTGTTTAATGTTCCAGCAAATGTTCGGTTCGTGTATTGCATTTTTATGCCAGCAATCAGGCTGTATTTCTGCCTGTTATCTTGTTCATATGATTTGTTCTCCCGCGTACCTCAGCTGACATATATAAATTGCTTACCCTTCTCAGTTTCCTGCTGCCTGGAAAATGTCCTGTCACTATAAAAACAAAGGTTTTTTTTATCTACCAGTTTTGCACAAAAGAGCTGTCAATAATAATAATGATAATAAATGTGTGCATCACTCTAAACCAGGAAGCCCGCGGTCTGTTGAAGGGAGAGAAGTGGGAATTTGTGTGCTTGCACTTTTTTTTTAATCTACCAGAGTTGTACAAAAGAGCAGACAAAAAATAAAAACAGAAAAATGTGTGTTGCTCCAAGCCAGACAAAGATTTGGAGTTACTCTCATGAAAGCCTGCCACTTCCTTTCCTCCCTTTTCCTATACCTGAAGGGAGTATTTTGATTCTTAGTACAGCTATTTTCTGCAAGAGCATATCTGTGCAAGAGAGTTTTAAAAAATAAGAATAAAAATACCACAAACATGCTTTTAGCAACAAAGACGAAAAAGAAGTATTATTCATTAATGACATATGGATAATGGTTATCGCAACTTGCCCCATATATATCACCCTGTTCTATAGTCCTTTCCTCTTAATTTAATATTTCAAGGAATAGCTTTAATTTTGGATTTTAGCTCAATAATCAGACACACCAGAGATTTAATTGGAACCTTTAAAATATATATCATCAAGTTCAAGAAAATAGGTTTTGGTCATTCAGTCTTTCAGTACCTACAAATCAGACTTTGATTTTTAGAAATATTTGTAGAACTTTTAAAGAACACATTATAAGGCAAGCCACCACAAAAAGTAGTGTTTTAAATGGTAAAAAAGGCAGCTGTTGGATCCAAAGAAAACTAAAAATAACTATCAAGGACATGTATTTAGTATAACCTTCTTTCTGGCTGGAAATGTATTCTTTTGTGCCAAATGAACATTTGTAAAAAAATGTGTTTTATACTGTGTTGTTTTGTTTGGTTGCAGTGATAGGCCATTTCTAAATTGTGGTGACAGGCTTCAAGTACAACAATGCTCAGAGTCCTTTTGTTTGTTTATATATTTATAAACACATTCATTTATATATTTGTTTATATGCTTATATTGTTAATATCCTGCCAATCCTTTGTCATGGATGGAAATTATATATATATATATACACACACACACACACACACATAATTTTATTTGTATGCCGTCTTCCATAGTTCAAACCACGATCAAGGTGGCTTACAACAAGAAAAATGTACACAAATACAAATATAAGAAAAGTAGTTGTTGTTTAGTCGTGTCCGATTCTTTGTGACCCCATGGACCAGAGCACGCCAGGCACTCCTGTCTTCCACTGCCTCCCACAGTTTGGTCAAACTCATGCTGGTGGCTTCAAGAACACCGTCCAACCATCTCGTCCTCTGTCGTCTCCTTCTCCTTGTGCCCTCCATCTTTCCCAGCATCAGTGTCTTCTCCAGGGAGTCTTCTCTTCTCATGAGGTGGCCAAAGTACTGGAGCCTCAGCTTCAGGATCTGTCCTTCCAGTGAGCACTCAGGGCTGATTTCCTTCAGAATGGATAGGTTTGATCTTCTTGCAGTCCATGGGACTCTCAAGAGTCTCCTTCAACACCATAATTCAAAAGCATCAATTCTTTGGTGACCAGCCTTCTTTATGGTCCAGCTCTCACTTCCATACATCACTACGGGGAAAACCAGAGCTTTAACTATACAGACCTTTGTAGGCAAGGTGATATCTCTGCTTTTAAAGATGCTGTCTAGGTTTGTCATTGCTTTTCTCCCAAGGAGCAGGCGTCTTTTAATTTCCTGACTGCTGTCACCATCTGCAGTGATCATGGAGCCCAAGAAAGTAAAATCTCTCACTGCCTCCATTTCTTCCATGGACAAAGACAAAGAAATTCAATCAATCAATCTTTATTATGGTCCAGAGGCCCAGAAAAGTAGTAATAAACAACAAATAAAACCACCAGATATTATAAAAACCAAACTGAACTATTTCCACATAAATCATAATAAGACCTGTTTAAATTGTTGGAAAAGTAATAAATATTATTTTTTAAAAAATAAATCATAATAAGACACCCCCCCCAGCAATAGCAGCAACAACCCTCTCCTACAACAGTTACAGATAGGTAGCCGTGTTGGTCTGCCATAGTCAAAACAAAGAAAATTCCTTCTAGTAGCACCTTAAAGAGCAACTAAGTTAGTTCTTGGTATGAGCTTTCGTGTGCATGCACACTTCTTCAGATACACTGAGTATCTGAAGTGTATCTTCAGTGTATCTGAAGAAGTGTGCATGCACACGAAAGCTCATACCAAGAACTAACTTAGTTGGTCTTTAAGGTGCTAGGGGAAGGAATTTTCTTTGTTTCCTCTCCTGCAAAACCCCTAAGGCCTAAGCATGAATGAAGCCCGGAACGTTCCTTTCCAGCACCAACATTCCTTTCCGGGGTCACTTTACACCAATGCACCAGCTCCGCGCGGGGGACAGGAAAGAGCGTGGGGTCACCGCCGGAACTCTAGGCCTCAAAGCCCGCAACTGAGTTCGAGGAACCATAGACTCATAGTATTCTAGAGTTTTCCCCCGCTCTCTTCCCAATAAGGGGATAATACTTCCCCGGCGTGGAACCGGCGGAGCGGTATAAAGTGACCCCTGGAAGGGAAACGTTGAGGCTGGAAAGGAACGCTCCGGGGGTTCATTCGGAAGGCTTATTCAAAAGCGTCCGACGCTCTTTCCCGTCGCCGCGCCGTATCTCTACGTGCTCCTGGCCCGCGCGTGCGCGGTGGCCGGGTGCCTTCACCTGGGCGTCCGCGTGAGACGCACGCGCGGGGGTGGCTGGGCGTGGCCTCGGCCGTTGGGCGCGAGCGGGAGTGGGCGGGGCCTGGCTCTGAGGCGGGAGGAGGATGGACTGACTGAGGCGCTGAGGCGCTGAGGCGGCGGCGGCCGGGCGGGTCATGGCCTCCTTGTTCCCGGCCAACGGGGCGGCGGGCGAGTGGGGAGGCGGCGGCGGCGGCGGCGACGACCCCAGCTCGGCGGAGGAGGGTGAGGGCGGCCGGGCGGCGGCGGCGGGGCTGAGGGAGTCCCCGGTCTCCGACTCCGGGAGCCGCTCGTCGTCGCCTCCGCCGATGGAGCAGTTCGAGCGGGCGGCGCAGCGGGTGCCGGCGCTGGCGGGGTCGGCCAGCCGGGAGCAGCTGCTCTACCTGTACGCCAGGTACAAGCAGGTGAGGCTCCGCTCGGGCCCGGCCTTCCTCCGCCCTCCTTCCCCACGCCCTGCCTCTCATAGGGACCCCGGGGGTCATCTAGTCCAACCCCGCCCTCCCCCTCCCTCGAATCTTTGTGCCCAGTGTGGGGCTCTCGAACCCACCACCCGGAGGAGAGGAAGAGCCCCTCACGCTCTTGGCCCTTCTCGTGTGTTCAGAGGAGAGGCACGCTGGCCCTGAGTGTGGAGGTTCCGCTTATTATTATTTTTATTTACAGTGGTGCCCCGCAAGACGAATACCCCGCAAGACGAAAAACTTGCTAGACGAAAGAGTTTCCGTTTTTTGAGTCGTTCTGCAAGACGAATTTCCCTATGGGCTTGCTTCGCAAGGCGAAACGTCTTGCGAGTTTGTTTCCTTTTTCTTAAAGCCGCTAAGCCGTTGATAGCCGCTAAGCCGTTAATAGCCGCTAAGACGCTAATAGCCGTGCTTCGCAAGACGAATAAACCGCAAGACGAAGAGACTCGTGGAACAGATTAATTTCGTCTTGCGAGGCACCACTGTACAGTGGTACCTCAGGTTACATACGCTTCAGGTAACACACTCCGCTAACCCAGAAATAGTGCTTCAGGTTAAGATCAGAAATCGTGCGGCAGCAGCAGGAGGCCCCATTATCTAAAGTGGTGCTTCAGGTTAAGAACAGTTTCAGGTTAAGAACGGACCTCCGGAACAAATTAAGTACAGTGGTGCCTCGCAAGACGAAATTAATTCGTTCCGCGAGTTTTTTCGTCTTGCGATTTTTTTCGTCTTGCGAAGCACGGTTTCGGAAAAGTTTTGGAAAAGCTTCAAAAATCACCAAAGTCTTCAAAAACCTCAAAAAAGGATACCACACCGCGTGCTGTGAGTTGCTCCTCGAAGTCAAGTCGCAACTGTATTAACGGTTTTAAGAAAAAGGAAACAAACTTGCAAGACGTTTGCGTCTTGTGAAGCAAGCCCATAGGGAAAATCGTCTTGCGAAGCAACTCAAAAAACCAAAAACCCTTTCGTCTTGCGAGTTTTTTGTCTTGCGAGGCATTCATCTTGCGAGTACCACTGTACTTAACCCAAAGTACCACTGTATGTATTATGATTTTCATTTTTATGCATTTTTCATTTTTATGCACTTCAATCATTCTATAATTGTTTTAACATTTCAAAACTTGACTTTCCTTCCCCCTCTTTCTGCGCTTCCTTCAATTTATTGTTAAAATATTTTCTGCATACCCAAATGAACTGAATTCCCCCATTTATTCAACTCGCCTCCGTAATGTAGATGGAGGTTCCACTTTGGCTTCTGCCACCGGCGAAACGGCGTCATAGACGTCTTTGAAAATGCCTTATTCTGTTAACGGTGCTTCTTCGAATGTGTTGCTTTATGTTCTGCGAATAATGTTTTATTCTGGATTGTTTGATGTATTAATGAAGGGTGTAAACTGCTTAGAGACTTTATTAATTTTTTGCTTAAAAACAGAATGTGGTATAGAAATGAAGATAGGTTCGTCATCATCACCATCATCTCCGTGGGTTGGCCTGTTAGATAGGATGGCCAAGCTGTCAGGCTGCAGACTTACTTGAGAGTTTCATAGGGCGGGTGTGTGGGTAGGTGGGTGTAGCATTGACCTTAGCCTGTGGTTTGTCATGGTTAGAACTATAAACTTATGACTAAGTATCTTAGCCTGTTCTTGCGCTACCCACCCCATTATTATTTTTCTCACTGCAGCCTATTTAGCCACTCTAAAGTGCATAGCACTTTCTGGAGAAAGGAAGGAAAGATTGCAAGCTTCTCGGGAGTAGGAACACAAGTACCCACCAATGAAGGTTGCAGGGGAAGAAGAGGGAGAAAGAGTTAAATAGGAAGAATGTGCATTCAGTTCAGATACGTGTTTTAAAGCTTATGGTGCAGTCCTCACCCCCAGGTGTGCATGTGGTATATCTTCCCACTTCCTGGCTGAATTGGCCTTCAGCTGATGTAAGTTACTTACCCCATTGTATCTACTGGCAGAAGAAAAGCCCTGCTGGTGGAAGTTACACTGGTGTAAAATGGCCCAAGAAGAGGGTGGTAGGATACAGAAAGTTATGCTGCATCCCATCTCCCTTCATTCACTGGTCTTGTCCGCAGAGTTTGGTGTAACTTACACCACCAAAAAATGCAATTGTAACTAAAATTCACCCTGTGGGAGTCAGCGGAAGGCAGAAAGTGGAGGTTTACGCTGCTCCTGCCCCAGCCACAAGCAGTTCAGTGTAGCTTAGTTTATCCAGGGAAAAGACCAGTATATCTGCCTGGTTAGGATTGCTCTGTTATTTTCAGCAGGGGATGAGGTAGTCAATGAACTTACACCATACACCATATATTGCATCAAATGCAATATACAGGACAACGCCTAATTACACCCACTCCATCAGAGCCAGTCCACAGACATCTCTAGGTATGGGTTTAAATCCCCATTTAAATTATGTTGTCGCAACCACTGTTCTTCTAAGCACATCCCACACAAGTGGAAGAAAAAGAAGAAACGTAACAGATCATTCATGTAGCTGCTTGGACAAGATGTCTGTAGAGAGTGCACAGACTCCCTGGGATAAAGGTTCAAGAGCCATTCAGGAAGAAAATGCTCTTCCTAAACAGGCCAGAACATCCAACAAGAGCAGCCTCCAGTGGCTCACTCCATAGTGCAGAGGGCCGGAAAACACAAGTGGTAATTCATACCCCATGAATATAGCCCCATCCATCTCTTGCATGCATGCCAAAGTAACTTAAAAATGTCAGTAACAAAAGAAAAGTTGCTCCTGGGATTCAAACCCACAAGACACTTCTACTTACACACAGCCACAGCACCCGACAGGAATCATCCACACCTATGGGAAGTCTGTCTCTCTCCTCTGTCCCCCATCAGAGAGCAGAGGAGCCGTTACTTGGTGGAACATTTTACTTGCATAAGTTTCCAAGTTCAGATCCAAGATATAACCCCTTAACTTGCACATGAGACGTTCAGAATGAGTGCTGCAGGGAGCCATGTTGTTGTTGTTGTTGTTGTTTAGTTGTGTCCGACTCTTCGTGACCCCATGGACCAGAGCATGCCAGGCACTCCTGTCTTCCACTGCCTCCCGCAATTTGACCAACTCATGCTGGTAGCTTCGAGAACACTGTCCAACCATCTCGTCCTCTGTCGTCCCCTTCTCCTTGTGCCCTCCATCTTTCCCAACATCAGGGTCTTTTCCAGGGAGTCTTCTCTTCTCATGAGGTGGCCAAAGTATTGGAGCCTCAACTTCACAATCTGTCCTTCCAGTGAGCACTCAGGGCTGATTTCCTTAAGAATGGATACGTTTGATCTTCTTGCAGTCCATCAAGAGTCTCCTCCAGCACCAGAATTCAAAAGCATAAATTCTTCGGCGATCAGCCTTCTTTATGGTCCAGCTCTCACATAGTTTGGCCCATGTGTGGGCTAACCCAGCCTTCCCCAACCTGGTACCCTCCAGATGTTTTGGATCACAACTCCATCACCCCAACCATTGACCACACTGCTGCTGGGAGTTGTAGTCCAAAACATCTGAAGGTACTGAGCTGGGGAAGGCTGGGCTAACCCAACCCTTTTGCCCCACCCCTCTTCCTGATACGACCAATCCATTCTCCACTGCTATTTTGTCTGATAGGCTGGGCCCTGTTCAGTAGTATCCCAGGAGGCCTTATTGCCTATCCTCCTTATCGTACTCCCCATTTTTGCCTTATATGCCTTTGCCATGGCACCCATCCCACTTGGGTACCCTGAGAGGCCTGCTTCCTTACAGTACAGGGTACCTGAGTGAGCAGAGGAAGGGGCAGTGCCCTTGAGCCCATGAAGTTTTCTGCTTGCGTCCTCGCAATACTATGGCTAGCTGATTGTATTGGGCAGAATATATTTGGGGAAGGGATTGCTATATATCGGTTCCCAGCAACAAATCATGTACAGTGGTACCTCAGGTTAAGTACTTAATTCGTTCCGGAGGTCCGTACTTAACCTGAAACTGTTCTTAACCTGAAGCACTACTTTAGCTAATGGGGCCTCCTGCTGCTGCCGCACTGCCAGAGCATGATTTCTGTTCTCACCCTGAAGCAAAGTTCTTAACCGGAGGTACTATTTCTGGGTTAGCGGAGTCTGTAACCTGAAGCGTATGTAACCTGAAGTGTATGTAACCCAAGGTACCACTGTAATGCTGTCAGCACCTTTCATTGATTAGTGTCTGGTATGGAGGAGATCCTAAATAGCCACCAGTGCAGTGTTAGGTTACCCTAGCATGGCCATTGGAACTTGGACAGTGACTGATAGCAAGGTAGAATGTAGGTTTCCATGTGGGACCAGCTCCAGGCTGGGAACACCTCCTCTTGCATAACTGTGATGGAGCTTGCAAGAGTACAGAAACCTGCATGGAGCAAGTAGGTTGTTAACCCAGAGGGACAGCCAGGAGCATCCTAGGCATTTCTGCTGGTCATGAGGAGAGTCTCCCTCTTAGCCTGCAATGAATAAGCTGTGGGATAAAACCTGTACCTGTGGAAGAGAGGCCTCTGGAGAACAAAGTGACAGACAGAGTAGCAAGTGATAGGCAGGAACTGGAGTGCACTGTTCTTGAACTGCTGAGTGCATAGTAAGTGTTTGTGAGGAGGTAAGACCATCTATCTGAGTATTCAGCCAGGGCTTTGCCTCAGCTGTGCTTCCCCTTCTCCATGGTGAGAGTATCACGGGGAGATACTTCTGGCAGTTCCCTCACTGTGAGCAGTGAGGCTACAGGGAACCAGGCAAAGGGCCTTCTCAGGAGTCGCGTTTGCCCTGTGGAACGCCCTGCTGTCAGATGTCAAGAAATAAACAACTATCTGAATTTTAGAAAACATCTGAAGGCATTCCTGTGTAGGGAAGTTTTTAATGTTTGATACTTTGCTGTGGTTTTATAATTTGTTGGAAGCTGCCCAGAGTGGCTGGAGCAACCCAGTCAGATGGGTGGCATATAAATAAATCATCATCATCATCATCATTACGATTATTACACTGCACTGACTGTGAGAATACACTGGTGTCCACAGCATTTGTGTGATTACAATCTATGCAGCAAAAAAGTGCTCTCTTTGAAGAAAGCATTGCATTTTATCTGGTACGAAAGTTAGCAGTTTTGCCTGAAAATGCAGTATTTCTACAACACAGTGTGGCCCTGAATGAAGAAATCTGTTCATATGCAGCAATGGACTGTGCTTTCCAGGCACAATAAACCCAAAGCCTGCTGGTAAATGGTGTGATACCCTTTTTTAGATTTTTGCCTCTTTGCACAGTGTGGAGATGCGGGGAAGGGGAAAAAAACATTGAAAATAAATGTCCGAAGCCAGCCCAACTGTGATGGGAAGCAGTGAAGCCTAGAAATGAATGAAGTGCCCTTGAGCACTTGCCAGCTTTGTTAGACTGCTTTTTACTATTTTATACATTGGTCCTTGTGGCTATAGGCAGAATTTTAAGTCCTTAGGTGTGATCATTGGGTCATTCCACACCAAATCACCAAGGTGCCATGTGCTCTCACGACTCAGATTTTCTTCATTTATGTGTAGATACCTATGAGATAACCTCAAAATAATATTTTAAGATTTTTTTTGGTCCAAAATTGGGCTCAGGAGAATTTTTTGAAAATTTTGATTTTCGTGCAATTTAGGCTAATGGAATTTCTGCGTCAGTGTAGAAAAAACCTCCTGTTTCGCTTATTTTTCAACCAATTGGGCTTAATTTGGTATCAGAATAAAGTTAATTGTGGTCTCTTTCAAAATAAGGTATAAAAATGGTCTTAAGTGCCACAGAAAAGGGTCGCTGACCATTCAAAGTAAATTTTTGTCTTTTTATTCCTCGTAGGTTCGATAAGCCATAGCACACAAACCACAACTAATACATGTTTCATAATTTGGTTGTAGAATGGGCTATCCATGTACTTGTTATGTTTTAAAAATAAGGATGGTGTTTTTTGCAGTTATAAAATAAATTGATTTTGAAGTAATTTTTTTACAATTTTTATTTATTTATGTACAGGTTTAAGGGCTCTTTGAGCCTGAAATAACTCACACATTCATGAGAATAGTTAAATTTTTACCCTTTTATGTTACAATGTCATCTGATATATTTTAAAAATTAAGTTTTATTGATTATTTAATAAAAACAAAATACGTCTCAGAGCCCTTGTTCATTTTATTGTGTAAAACACTCCTGCAATGATATGACCCCCTTTTGTAACTATGAAAAAAATTAATTCCTCATTTCCTGCCTCTGAGGTTGCAGGTCTAAGCACCTCAGAGCCCCATCTAACACAATGAGGCTTATCGCTGAGCAAATTTTAGGATAGCACTGCATATCTGAGGTTCACGGGACTTTTCTAGCCTTGGTTAGTGGCATGAATAACTAGTTAATCAGGTAGTTACTCCCTTCCCATTAAATTGTGTTGTCCAGCCTCAGATTTGTAGGATACACTTAAGATTTGTTCTTTGTCAGAATGATTGTGTCTATATTGTATGGAAGGTTGACAAGGCTGGTTTGACAGGAGAAAACCAAATAACTCAGTATTTAGCAAAGAATCAAACCTGGGTGAAAAGTCAAAAAATTACACTGGTCTTTTCAATATTTCCATTTTCAGGGCAGCTTATAAACTAGACACACAGGAAGAAGAATAACAGAGTTAAATTAAAACAGACAACATTTCAGTAAATTGGAACAAATGCCTGTAGTGACTAAAAACCAGAGTCAACTGATTAAACAGACTTGAATAGAGTTTTTTACCTGATACCAGAAAGACATGAGTAGGTGTCAGGTGAGCCTTCCTGGGAACAGCATTCCATAAGACAAGTACCACAAATGAAAAAGCTGTTGATCACCACCCATCAAGCCTCCAGAATTGGGGCAATATTGAGGATGATCTCAGCAGCTGAGCAGGTTCACGCAGGTTGGGCTGCAGATACTGTTTCAAGATATCAAGGGCTTTAAAACTTGCAATTTGAGTTTTGTTTGGAAATGGGCTGGTGAGAGGTTGTGAAAGGCTAATTCTGGTCAGTAGTCTGCAAGCGGTGTTTGACTGCCTCATTGACTTTATGGGATACAACAATCATTGTCTGGTGAAGTATGGGCATATTCTCCAAAAATGTAAAGTACATCAGCCTCAGTGCAGACACCTGAATTATATGCCATTAAGGTAAAGGTAAAGGTACCCCTGCCCGTACGGGCCAGTCTTGACAGACTCTAGGCTTGTGCGCTCATCTCACTCTAGAGGCCAGGAGCCAGCGCTGTCCGAAGACACTTCCGGGTCACGTGGCCAGCATGACGAAGCTACTCTGGTGAGCCAGAGCCGCACACGGAAACGCCGTTTACCTTCCCGCTAGTAAGCGGTCCCTATTTATCTACTTGCACCCGGGAGTGCTTTCGAACTGCTAGGTTGGCAGGCGCTGGGACCGAGCAACGGGAGTGCACCCCGTCGCGGGGATTCGAACTGCCGACCTTCTGATCGGCAAGCCCTAGGCGCTGAGGCTTTTACCCACAGCGCCACCCGCGTCCCAGCATATAGTAATATGCCATTACTAGCTGCCTATTACAGTACGATGGCAACTGCCCACTGGCTGCATTTCGGAAGAACTTTTCTTATATTTGGCACGGCAATGCAAACTGCTGTTGTGCTGTTAAAAAAACCTATCATTCAAGTATGTACATGGTGGTACTATAATAATAACAACAAATGGGCTTCTAGAGTTTGTATCCTGGGCTTATAGAATCTGTTTTGATTTGAAATCTGCACAACCACCTTCAACATGTGTATATGAGTGTATTCAAGGAAATGAGCAAAATACCCCCAAGCAACCCCAAAAGGCAGGGACCCCAGCCCCAAACAAAGCATCTTCATTTTAGAAATACAAAAAAGCAGGCAAAATGCACCTGCACTCCCCCAAAGCAAAACACCCCCTGTCTTTCCCCATGCCTCCTAACTTAGGCAGCAGCAGGGTCTGCTTTGCTTTGCTTTTGTTTTCAAAGAGAAGGTAGCGCTCCAGTTGCACCCTCTTCTTTCCTCTGAAGACTACCTCTGGGCTCAGTGAGACTCTGCGTTCTGGGGAAAGGGTGAATGACCGAATGCCTGCACTTCATTTTTAAGGCACCTAAAGGTTAAAATAAACCCTGAAAAATGTTTTTAAAATTAAAAAAATTGGGGAGGGACAGGGGGCTACAGCAGGTGCAAGGAGGGTGTTTGTGGGCACCGCTTGGGGACTCCAGGAATCAGTGTTTGCGTAATCAACTAATACAAGAAGAAGCCTTGATAGCTTTAGATTTCTATCTGATTTAAGGCAAAACTTTACTCTTCAACCTTCTTTCTCCCAATTTAATCATATAATCTGCATAAAAGACTGATAAAATATTGCTTTAGCAGAGACTTGTACCTCCATTGAATAAAAGGTGCTGACTCAGGTCAGTCCACTGTCCCTAGTGCAGCATTTGTGTTTTTCCTCACGTCTGTTTCTTTTCTCTACAAACTGTGATTTAGGAGAGAACAGCCCCTATAAAAAGATGACAGTAACAGCTGAGCACTTTGTTAAGACACTGCTTACTTAAGCAGTTCAAGATAAATAGCATAAACACCTACTTAACTTTTCCACTTACTGGAGGTCATTTCAGAGTCTGACTGTGTGAACAGACCTGACAAGAGTTGCTCAGCTGATTTCTAAATGTTTTTACCTAAGAGTTAAGATAATGAAGATGTGGCTTGTTGGGGTTTTGCAATCCCCAGCTTACCTGTAAGAGTTCTAGATGGATGTGATGCTGGTAGACATGGTTGCTTGAATGAACACTTTGTTGGCTGTTACCTAGCAAGGAATTCCTTTCCTGGAACAATAGGCGCTTGTTCTAATGGGTAATTTTTTTTATTGTTGATACATCTACTCTATAGGAAGGCCTGTGTGTACTTTATTTAAAATATATTTTATTTTACTAACAGGTGATAGTGCAAATTGGCAGGGCCACTCAAGTTTCAAAGGTTGAGAGATGGTCTAGAAGAGGCCACAGTTCTCAGGATGTCTGTGGCCTCTTCTCACACCATACTTCCCTCAACCCAAGACACTGGTAATTTGCAGAGTTTGCATTATCATACTGGTGTAAAACCTAGCCTTTATTTTTATTTTTTGTATTAAAGTCTTCTAGTGATGGGGAGGGGCCAGAAACTTTGCCCCTAAACCACTAACCACTGAAAATGTCAGTGAGCTGCTTTTGAGATAACATGCACCGTTCACCTAGTTTCAAGAGCTAGAAATTTTATTAAAAAGAAAGAACAGAGCAGAATTGTGGCTAGTACCACATTTGCCGCCGCTGCACGATTTCTGTTCTCATCCTGAAGCAAAGTTCTTAACCCGAGGTAATATTTCTGGGTTAGCGGAGTCTGTAACCTGAAGCGTATGTAATCTGAAGCGTATGTAACCCAAGTTACCACTGTATTTTGTTAGCAAGTCCATAAAGACAAACAAAAATACATCATCATTTCTTTAGCACTTATCCCAGCACTGTTCCCCATTCTATCTTTAGGTCAAATGTGGTAGCTGCAACACTCCCAAACCTGGGTTTTTCGACTTTGAAGGAAAGCAGAAATGGTAAGTGGAAATACCTCATAATTTCTATGTACTTTCCCCCAGTCCATTAGATAATTTAATTTAGAGGGTGCTACCATTTTTGTGTTAATTACTGAATGACTCTTGGGATAATGTCTTTTTACTTTTTGCTCCCCTCCTCATTTCCAGTTTAAAAAATGTGTACGGTAACAAACTCAAGGATTGTGCAGCTCACATTCTCAAAAGTCTCAGGATTTCCCTCCTGATCACTACTCCATGGAGCCTTATAAAAATCTGCACTACCTGGAGCCTTGAAAAACAGCTTTTGGGGGATTTTTAAAGAGCCCTGTCTGAACTGTGATTAGTGCCCAGGACTTAAATGAAATAGATTAAATTTAGAGGGGCACTAACAGTGCATGTGCAGAAGCCTGTTTTGCATTCTTTCTGATCTGGAGAAGTACTTCTTGGGGAAATTGTGCTCTTTTTATCATACATCTGAACACTTACAGACAGGATAAATTAATATTCCAAAGTGATAATTAGAAATGTTGGTAGCACCACTGGCTATAAACAAAACTGCATTTATAGCTGCTATGTGTATTAATTTTTAAAACTCATTTAAAACATTTAAATAGAGTAAAAGCCAATAAAATGTTATTTTTCTTGAACATTGTTCAGATACTATTTTTGCACTATAAATAATTGTTGTGCAAAGACAAATATACATAGTTATAATAATTACAGTCATTCAGAACAATTTTGCTTTATATATAAATGGTTGTTTTTAATTAGCATGTCTCTGTTGGATGCAGTAGCAGAATATTAAGATCTAATTTTAAGATGTTAAAAAAAATAAGATCCATAGTGAGCTTATATTCTCTCTATGGATGGAAAAATGTTTCCTGAGTACTTCACTGTGGAGCTAAACAATTTTGTTATAAATTTGCTTTAAATTTATATTTATGTGGCCAATATTTGACCAGTCAGTGGGTGAAACTATTTTTGCATGTCAGTGTCAAATGACTAGCATCTGAATCGGGTACCGGCTGCATAGGTGACTACTTCACCACCATTGTGAGAGAGAAGAAAAGCTCACTAGGGATCTTTTTAAAAAAGTCTCTCAAATAATGATTTCAGCAGCTCTCCTCTGTGGAACCACCAAACCTCTTTCTATGCTTCCCTGCGTCCAAAGAGTGACTTAGAAGGTTGCCCCAATCTAATTAGAGCAGTGATGGATACTATAATGGATTAATTATGGATGTGAACTTAAGTATATAAGCCTGACCAGGGTATTGAATTGAAGGTGGGAAATCCAGAGATAAACACATTGACCTCTAGTGAGTAGTGGATCTTCTTTCCTTATGTCTATTTCCCAGGGAAGCTTGGAAAGCATTGGGTGATACAAGTCCAGAGCAGGCTATTCGAGAGTATGTCGCTACTGTGAAGAAACTGGACCCCACTTGGAATCCACAGGTAGGCATATATAATCATCTTTCAAAAATTCATTGTGTAGCTGAATAGGCCATATAAGGCAATGTCCTGCCCTCAGGTCTGTGAATTTTGTACATTTTAATCAGGATGCAAGCAAATATGGGCTTTGCAGCTGGGGCAACTGAACACTTTCAAAGTAAATGGGTTCCTTGTGGGCAATTTCTGTCTCTCATGTCTAATCCACAGTGAAGTTTTTTAGTACCACTGGCCTGCGTTACTTGCCAAGCCTAGTAGCCACGCACTGTGGTTTATCAGTAACATAATGTACTTCTTGTTTTTGCTGCCTGAATGGGACTGAACAAAAAAAAAAGTTCCCTGCAGCTTGGAGGTCGCTGTTCGCTACTGGCTGCTTCTTGGTGGATCACAGCGTGTGTAGCCTTGGAAGCTAAGTAGCTAGGAAGAATAATGCTAACTAACTTGGTGGAGTTACTGGTTACCTCAGACTTGTTTAGCAATAAGTGCAAGTAGTTTTCTTTCTCCAGTCTCCCAGTTGTCGAGGTCAATCCTATACAGTCAAACCTTGGTTGTCGAACACAATCTGTTCCAGAAGTCCATTCGGCTTCCAAAATGTTTGACAGCCAAGGCACTGCTTAAGTGGAAGCCACTTCAGACGTTTAGCTTCCAAAAAATGTTCCCAAACCGGAGCATTTACTTCTGAGTGTTCGGCGTTGGGGAGCTGCAACTTTCCAAAACGGAGGCATTTGACTGTACACAAGAAGCTGGTGCAAAGCAAGCTCAGCAGAAGTTAAGCCAATGTCAAGTCCACCAGATCCAAACTTAGTTCAGGCGTGGGGCTAGCACTGGCTGAATTGGCTTAAGGCTGACGAAGTGTGTGGGAGCCTTTAAAGTAGTGTTTGAGTTCTAACTAACCAACTGAGCCGTCAACCCCCCCCTTTTTTTTTTTTGCTGGCTTCACTTATGTTGGGTTGCCAGGTCATGTGACTGAGCTGAATGGACTTAGGATCTGTCCAAATTCCCCCACTCTGGTCCTCCCCCACCCCTTTTTCAGGGGCAGCTTAAGTTCTGCAAGCCCTGGCTCCGTTGGCTGGTTGAGGTGGAATAGGGGACTTGAGCCAGCGTAGGCCTAGCTGAACTTGGAACCTCCCGACTCTTGCTACAAAATTGCTTCTTAAATATACTTTTGTGGACCTTGCTACAAAATTGCTTCCTAAATATACTTTTGTGAATCTGCCAGCAACTGGTTTTACGTGCTGTGTGTGATCCTGTGTTACTATACAGTTGTACCTTGGAATTCAAACGGAATCTGTTCCGGAAGTCCGTTCGACTTCCAAAACATTCGGAAACCAAAGTGCGGCTTCTGTTTGGCTGCAGGAAGTTTCTGCAGCCAATCAGAAGCCCCGTCGGACGTTTGGCTTCCAAAAATAGTTTGCAAACCGGAACAGTCACTTCCGGGTTTGCGGCATTTGGAAGTACTTTGCTTCAAATAATTTGTGCACTTCAAGCATTAAAACTGAATACTGTATTCAGAAACCCACAGAGAGATTTTTCTGAGCATTTCCTTTTAATACTCGAAACTTCCCTGATGATGCCTGATCCCCTCAAAGTCTTCCTCTGAGGTAGTGGGCATCACAGGGCCTGCCCAAGGTGAGCTGTGCCTCAGTTCCCTTTGTTCAGTCAGTCAGTCAATCAATCAATTTATTACAACTATGGAACATAAGTAAAATAAAAGGTGTCACCGATAGTGGCTAAATTTCTATCAGCAACTGAGAAAAGGAGAAAAACTCACCATTTGAAACGTGAAGGACCATCTTCAGGGGCTAACTCAGGCTTACTCTAGCTCTGTATAATTTTTTGTTTTTGTTACTTTTGAATCTGTTTTGCTCTGAGATTCTGCTGTGCTTTGTGTGTTTGTTTTACCTTTGGACTATTGATTCTAATTAATTGATTTAATTCTTCTTGTAGTTTGAGCTGTGGTGCTTGTATTTTAGCATAAAGCACTTTGTATAGCACTGGATTTGAAGCAGGAAGAGCTTGACTCAGCAGTAATATTAAATAATTGTAAACTTAATTTGCAGCCCTCAGAAGTTAAGAAGTATTAAATAGCCTAAGGCCCCTGCTGTTGGCGTAGCCTGTTATTTTCTTCTAACAATTTCTGTAACTACAAATTATTTATTTGAAAACTGTATGTTATATCCTGAAGGTATATTGTACTCCTGTGCTGTCAAAATTACTGGATCTACTGGAAAGTTGGTAAACCAGATCTACTCTGTTCAGTGATTTCTTATTCGGAAATCATTGCACTTTAAAATTGCATTGTAGTTAGCTAACATTTAGGCCACAAGAGGGAGCTCTGATTCTAATAGTGAATAAAAGTTCATTTGTCATAGTGTTGTGATTCTTTCACAGCAATTGTTTACTTCAGATTTTAATTTAGAATTTTGTGGGGACATAGTGTAAGTGGGTTACCTGTTACCTCTTCCTTTTACATGTAGAACTTCTACTGATTCAGGAGTTATGGATGTATTTGGCCAAACAAAAGGTGAAATGGAAAATGCTTATTGCTTTCTCTTGTTCATCTTTCTGTTAAGATCCTAAGTGCCTTGCTTGATCTAGTCCAGCATCTCATTTCCAAAGCAGCTCACCAGACTCTGGGAACTCATAAGCAGTGCATGAAAGTGGTCGCCTTCTTTTCCCTTCTTGTCTCTGTTGATGGTTTGGTTTTATATTATTTATTGCATTTGTATATCACCCATACCACTGATTTCTTGGGTGGTTTTACCTTCATAGTTTCTTGTGATTACACCTATTTACCGAGTTTGAACCTTTTAGAGAGATAATACGTATTTAGATAATTTCTGCTCTGCACTTGATCTGTCAGTAGTTTTCTGATTTATTGAGAAATTAGAAAAAAGTGTGTGTAATATTAGGGAAGGATGGGACGCAGGTGGCTCTGTGGGTAAAACCTCAGCGCCTAGGACTTGCCGATCGCATGGTCGGCGGTTCGAATCCCCGCGGCGGGGTGCGCTCCTGTTCTTCGGTCCCAGCGCCTGTCAACCTAGCAGTTCGAAAGCACCCCCGGGTGCAAGTAGATAAATAGGGACCGCTTACCAGCGGGAAGGTAAACGGCGTTCTGTGTGCTGCGCTGGCTCGCCAGATGCAGCTTGTCACGCTGGCCACGTGACCTGGAAGTGTCTGCGGACAGCGCTGGCTCCTGGCCTATAGAGTGAGATGAGCGCACAACCCTAGAGTCTGGCAAGACTGGCCCGTACGGGCAGGGGTACCTTTACCTTTACCTTTAATATTAGGGAAGCAGGATGTGACCTAGCGTTTTCAGCTGGTGGTGTCGAGGAGGAACATGGAGAATAGCCAGTGTGCTGTTGGAAACTTGACAGGCTTGAAAGTAAATAAAGCAGTGGTAAAAGCTCACCTGCTTAGGGCACAACACATAGCCTATAAATCCTGTGTTGAGCTGTTTTTTGCCCATTTTCCTTTCTGTATAACAGCCTCTAGAGGGCAGTGTATCATCAAGTAGCCAACCAGCCACTGCAGACAACTATAATAAAATGTCTGCTACAGTTGAAATGTTTGAAGTTTCACGGACAAATAATTTCATAATTCACTAGAACTTCAACCGTGATACTGAATAAATAATACTGAAGAAAAGCAGTTTCTTTCTGTGCTGATAACACTTGTAGATAGTGCTGCATTTATAGCAATGTTGCAGCAAGAAATGTTTAGGTAGCAAATAGAATGGATTGTGTTGATTTAGTTAGTGGCTCACAGTGCCTCCCAACCAAATCCACAGATCGAAGGTATCTTAATCATTTTAGGTTGCCATTTCTCTGCTGCTTTAGAAAGCCTTAAATGCAAGAACAGTCTCACCAGCTCTGTTGCCATCATGTAAAGAATTGACATTTTTCCTGCATAGGGAAAGCATTTTTACTTGGCCCTATCCTTAACAAAATAAATTTTAAAAATGCATAATCTATATCTATAACCACACTGTGATTGAAACAAAATGGAAACTGTGTGTTGTGTTCTGGATCTTGGGTTCCCCAAAATACAAACTTTTGGGTTCTATTCAATGCTAGTGCTACTCACAGTAGGCCTATTGAGCATGGCTAACTTGGGTCCATTACTTTCAGTAGGCCTACTGTCAGTAAAACTTAGTTGGATATACAGTAATAACCCTGTGGGTGGGACTCACCTAACCAGCCCTGTCAGTAGAAGCCCTGTGCAATGACTTCTACTGCACAACCGGGCTTTCCACCCTCTCTTCCCCCTCTGCACTCCCCAAAACTCCTTGGTGTGTGGAGTGCCTCAGGGCGCGATTCTCTCCCCGATGCTTTTTAACATCTTTATGCGCCCCCTCGCCCAGCTTGTCCGGAGTTTTGGGCTGGGTTGCCATCAATATGCTGATGACACCCAACTCTATCTGTTGATGGATGGCCATCCTGACTCGGCCCCAGACACACTGATCAGATGCTTGGAAGCTGTGGCTGGATGGTTACGTGGGAGCCGGTTGAAGTTAAATCCTTCGAAGACAGAGGTCCTCTGGCTGGGACGGGACGATATGGGATTGAGGGGGCAACTCCCATCTCTTGCGGGGGTGCAATTAGTGCCAGCACCGTCCGTTAAGAGTTTGGGTGTAATCTTCGATACCTCCCTCTCCATGGAGGCGCAGATTGCAGCTATAACAAAGGCGGCATTTTTTCATCTCCGCCAAGCTAAGCAGTTGGCTCCTTACCTCTCTCGCCCTGACCTAGCCACTGTGATCCACGTGACGGTCACCTCCAGACTGGATTATTGTAACTCGCTCTACGTGGGGCCGCCCTTGAGACTGACCCAGAAACTCCAGCGGGTGCAGAATGCCGCGGCGAGACTCCTTACGGGGTCTTCGCTGCGGGATCACATTCATCCGGTGCTATACCAGCTGCACTGGCTCCCGGTGGAGTACAGGATCAGGTTTAAGGTGCTGGTTTTAACCTTCAAAGCCCTACACGGCCTAGGACCCTCGTATC